AGAGCTTCTGACAGCGTGACAGGATGTAAACGTTCATGCTGCACCTCCCAGACGACCTAATGTCACATAGCTGCAGTATTCTTTTGGTTGGTGGATGAAGACAGTAGTAAGAAAATAGGTCCCACGTAAAACTGATCGCAAGGTTCAAAGAAGCTACTACTCTTCCTGTTTGAGACCATTTACCTTTTGTCTTGAATATCTCGTCCAGCTCTCTCTGCAGGTTGCTCAGGTCCTGCTCCAGATCTCGACTGCTGCAAACATTCAAGAACTTCTCTTCATCTGTGGCTAACTGCAGCTCCTTCTTCAGCAGCTCAGCAGTAATGTGGCTTTTATTCTGCTCATTTGATGCCAAGTCCATTCTGAGATGAAAACCACAATGTAACAGTGGTGAGTGTCGGGAAAAGATCCATCTTAAAAGCATTGTTTTCTACTTAAATGTTACTAACTTGAGCTTTGTAAGTCTGTCCCCGGTGCTGCTGGTTTCCTTTGACTTGGAAGAGACCCAGTCCTCCAGCTCTTTCTTGTTTGGAAAGTGGCCCAATAGAGACACCAGATCCTCACAGTGACGAGACCGGATCTGAAGAATCTGCTCCTCCATCTCGGCCTGGAGGACAGAAAGAGGAAAGATGAGAGGGGAGAAGGGAAAGAAGGGAGATGATCAGTAAGAGAAGTAGAAAAGCAGCAGCAAGTGAGTTTAGGTTCCTCATTACTTTGCCCTTTTTCAGTATGTCCATCTGTGTGAGTGCAGCTGTGTGCATGTTGAGTGTCTCCATCTCTTCGTCGAGCTGTCTCTGTGTGCAGTCGAGTTCAGCCTTTTCTTCCTGGAGCTCCTCGACCTCGGCCTTCAGCTCCTCCACGCTGGAGCTCTGAACTGCATCTTCACGCTCCTGAAGAGAAACACACACAAAACACAATCTATGATATAAGAACATGAAAGAGGCTCAAGAGGAGACAAGTGTCAGACAAAGAAGGATGCTTTTGAACTGTGATTCATACAAAGCAGCTGTAACAGAGTCAGTGGTTAAATACATCAAGCTGTAAAAGAGTAGGATCAATGTAGTGTAAGAGACACACATGATATATCCAGTCTCTGATCCAGAAAAAGAGAATATCAAAGAAATCCACCTGTGATGATTTCACAACCTCAAAAACATCATGATCCGTGTGTGTGTGCATTCTCACCACTTCAGCCAGTTTATTTTCCAGCTCTTGCAGTCGACTACATGAATCCTGCAGTCGTTGCAGCTCTTCTGTGATGTTTTTCAGCTCTTGCTGCTTCTTTTGCCGCTCGTCTCTTTTCATCTCTACCGTTCTCTCCATGTACGTCTTCCTGTCCCTCATTTCATCAACAGACTGCTGCTTCTGCTGCTCCAGTTTCTGCAGCTCTGCCTGATCGAACCAAATATTAAGAGGAGGAAGAAGAGAAGTGAAGAGCACAAATATCTCATATATGATTGTTCAGATGACTTTTTTTGTAGGCATCTCTAGCTAACGTGTATTTTATCTTGGAATTCTGTTTTCAGTTAAATTTCATTTTTATCACACCAGATCACAAAAACAGTTATCTCAAGGCAGTTTATAATGTAAGGTAAAGACCTTACAATAATACCGAGAACCAGAGAAAACTCCGACAGATCGGATGATTCCCCTATGAGCAAACACATTGGTGACAGCGGGAAGGAAAAACTCCTTTATAACAGGAAGAAATCTGCTGAAGAACCAGGCTCAGGGAGGGGCAGCAATATGCCATGACTGGTTGGACATTATTTTATCTGTGAAAAATTACACACAA